TCCCGATACTACAAACAGGAAGAGTGAGATTTCTGAAATGAAGTGACAAGTGCAGGGATTTTTTGGGGGGGAAGTGTCTTTTGCTCTTAGGGAGATTGTGCCCCTACTAGGGTGCTGGTGGGTCCTGCACAGCAGGGCAGCTACCTTCTTCCTGGTCAACACATGGCCACTCTGAGTAGCGGCAGTTTGTACAGTCGCCCTGCAGATCTGGATCCTGGTTTCTTCCTGCTCGGTAGCACAGAGCTGGGGAAGGCAACAGACCCTCACCCGATGGTGTTTCATTCTAAACCCTCTGGGCATAGGACTGGGAGTTAGAAACTTCCACCATGCAGCCTGTGGCCGCACAAGCCCGAAGCTAGTTTTTCATCACTCTGCTATGACGTTCATTTTCTTGAGTTTGGTGGCTGAGGTCAATGTGGTCAGCATGGCAAGAAGGTGACCGTCATCTTCATCAGGACCTGGCTGTGCCACACAGCCACAGGTGCTCCCTCCTCCCTCTCTCCCTTACTGTTTGCTAAGAGCTGAGTCCTAGTCCTAAGCTGGAAGGAACAATACCAAGGTGAAGACCTAGGGACACAGATGTCTCTCTAAGGCCTTACCTGACCCTGTCTTTGTTCCCTGTTCCTCCCGTCATACTTGGAAATATGGAGAGGTTAGAGCTAACATAGTTCTGTGAAGAACACGGGTTCTACCCCCAGCTCAGAGACCCTACACTGGGACAACTCTCTGGGAATGTCCTTGCATAAGAGACATTTGAAAGGACAGGGCCAACTGGTTGCAAGTGGCTTCTGTGAGACATATCCTGGTGGGCAGAAGCGCTGCTTTCCCTCACTCTGGATGAGGGAGTCAGGCCACCTGCATGGCTTCTCCATGGAGCCGGCCTCCTTGTCACTTGCTGTGTCACATGCCACATCAGAGACCCCTGAAACAAGGAGACTGGATAACGTGGTCTTCACAGACACTTTATTCCCATTGTTTGTAATAAACGTCTTGACAAGAGAGAGCTGGCTCCCAAGCACGCCAAGAGTAGAGGAGTCCCTCAATTATTCTTATCTTTTGGGAAGAGGTCTTGTGTTAGTCTTCATGAGACTGACAGCACTAGAATTTTCTCAGCCTTGAAGCCTCTATCCTGACTTCAGGAAGGATCTGAGTAGCAGTGGCCACCATGGACGGAAGGGAGATGGGAGGACGCAGGCCAAGGCAGTAGCTGCAGGGTCACCCACCCGCTGGGAGCCCTTCCCCAAAGCCCCCAGACAAAAGGCCTGCCATGGGCTCTGCTCAAAGCAGGGAACACAGGGGGCCAGTCCAACAGGAACAGTCGGAGAAGACAGGCAGCAGCAATAAGGTAAGCACAGTCCCATCTCCCAGGCTGGGAGAGCAAAGGGGCAAACTGCAATGTTTGGCACAACTCTATTAGGACCATCAAATTCAAGCTTTCTTTCCTAAACTCTGTTTTGCCAAGTTGTTCTTTTAAGGCAGCGCAGGATGCTGGAGATTGGAGACTGAGACCTGGAGCCTAGTGATTCAGACACCACCTGGAAGGGTCCTGTGGAGTGCCACCTGTTGGGCTGCAAACCTGGAAAGCCTGGGATGCCAGGGGCAGAATGAAGGTGAATTTGGGGGCATTTTCAGCTGAGCAGGTAATAGGTGTTGCTATGAATGTGCCAACTTCCTCAGATTGCCTGATTTAGCGTCTTAGGAGAGTCTATTAAGAATGGCCTTTATCCTTATGCCTTTAAGTACATGTATACATGCTCTTGCCTATTTTTTACTATTGTTCATTTTTTAAAAGCAAAGGGTCATGCCTCATCAAACAGTAATGAGCCAAAGGATCTGATCCAGCTTATGTGAGGAATAGAAATTAAGGTCCTAAATCACTTCACTAATACTTGGGCAGGAAAGTTGAAACTAAATGTGCATCTTGGTAACGACGATACCCATTTCCTCCAAAACTAAGTTATCTGCCATCAGACAAAATTTGCTTAACAGACTTCCTGGCTATTACGGAATCATGTCACTAGTTGTGAGAGACATTTCTTTTCCTCTTTTTCTATGCTCACAAAATCACAGCCTTGGAAGTTCATCCCAGTAACAACGACAGACCCAGATACTTGCTATGTCATTTAGCAGAAAGGAAAAACACCTCCCTCAAACCTGATAAAATCCTTTAAAAATGTGTATTTTACTATCTTTCATGAGAAACTGAACTATTTGATGAAATGTTTTCATGATCTATTTCACCAGGCACATTGTGGTGCTGTATTTTAATTCATTCTTAACTATTTGTTTTGAAGATGATACATGAAAATGAGGTGAAAATATACAACATTCTCCATGAACCAGCCTAGGAGAGATTACATTGTGCCCCAAGTGAAATAGCTAAATTCCATGGATTTTAATTACTTTTGTCCCCATGGGCTCCCCCCCTTTAATTTCGTCTATTTTCCCCTTAGGTTGCAATGATTAATTTGCAAGTTTAGTCCCATACTATCCAAGAAACCAAACAAAATGTATGACAGGCGAGATGAATCGGTGCCACCTTTTGTAAGCAGGATAAGCAGTGTTTTTTTCAAAGTCAGCCTGTGCTGGTACATTGGCATGAGGATGGTGGCTGAGGAATCCCTGTGCCTTCCAGTGATAGGCTTCTAGGCCTCTGGTGAGGCTGTTTCCACCCCTTATTTCCCATTCCAGGCTGTGCCGAGACCATATTTTTTTTTGCCTCTGAAAATAACAGTGGCCCACAGATACCTTTTTACAGGGCAGCAATGACTTACCAGGATATGTGTTTTTTCTCAAATGAATCCTGAGGTCCTGGGCGCTGCTCCTTTCTGCCCCCTGCGTTTTCTCTATATTGCTTTCTCTAATAGCTCTTTTGGGCACGGACATTCTAAGTGTGAAGCTTAACACTCACCCGGTGGAAGCAACATCCTTCCCAAAAGCCTCCCTAATGCTGGCTTAGACAGGAAATGGCAATGGCTGTGTTATCCATCCTTTAAAGCATTTCTAGTGCTCAGCCTCCATGAAATGGATTGCTTATGGGGAGATAATGTCTGTTCTATTCCTTTTTAAGTCTGTGAAAAATGTCATCCTGGTTAATAGGGTGATTAAAACTCTTTATGCTCCAGGAGATAAATGTGATTATGTTTGTCATACTCTACCCAAGATAAAGACAGCAAAGAAGGCAAACTTGAAATTCCATAACATTTCCTCTCTTCCATATCCAGGGACATTTAGAACTCAATACACAGATGGTACTTCACATAAAGAATAACATTATCTGTTAAACATTTTTCCTTTCCATTAACCAATTTAACAATATGCCTCTGGTATACAAGGAATAGACAAATGACTAAATCTTCTGATATCCAGGTTCTGAATGTAATAAACACTGCTTAAGTCATGCGGCTTGTTTTCTCTTTTAGTTTTCATCTTGTTACTTCCTTTTTGCTTTTAAAATGCGATTAGAGTCTATGCTCAGTACCTGTTCTAGAGAATCTGTCCTGGTTAGCCTCTCCTCATTAGGTGATTCATAGTCATTCTTTTTTTTTTTTTTTGAGTTGGAGTCTCACTCCGTCGTCCAGACTGGAGTGCAGTGGCCGCTCCTGGCCACTGCAGCCTCAACCTGCTGGGCTCCGGCGATCCTTCCGCCTCAGCCTTCCGAGTAGCTGGAACTACAGGCATGCGCCAACACGCCCGGCTGATTTTTTGATGTATTGTGGAGATGAGGTCTCGCCAAGTTGCCCAGGCGGGTCTCGAACCCGCAGGCTAAGGAAATCCACTCACCTCAGCCTCCCAAAGCGCTGGGATTACAGGCTGAGCCACCAAGCCCAGCTCATAGTCATTCTTAGGGGGTCCCCTGCCACCAGCCAAGGACAACAGAACAGATATGTAAATAGAGGGTTTTGGAGCTATCAGGTATGCCCCCAAGCAAGTATTCAGACACTCCCTCCTTCAGCAACGTCTGTTCAGTCCTCCTCTGCATCAGCCCTGTGGGAAGGCAGTGTACTCACCATGGCCCAGCTTATCCCTAGGGCCTGGTTCCCATCAGTCCAGTGTACAGCAGCCCCTGCAGCAGGCCCCGAGGAGTCCCTACCTTCAAGGAGCTTACAAGGCAGCAACCTACTAAGAATGAGTTAATAACAATTTGTCCTTTTATCACTCCAGATAAGCTAGAAATGAAAATGATCATTTTCTTCTATCCATTGGAGGAGGTCTTTTCAAAATCAATAGGCACTAGCCTAGGCAACATAGCGAGATCTCGCCTCCACAAAAAGTAAAACAGTTAGCTGGGTGTAGTGGTATGTGCCTATAGTCCCAGCTTCTTGGTAGGCTGAGGCAGGAGGATCACTTGAGCCCAGGAGTTTGAGGCTGTGGTGAGCTGTGATCATGCCATTCATTGCACTCCAGCCTGGGTGACACAGTGAGGCTCTGTCTCAAAAAGAATCAATAAGCATTTTCCAGCTAAAAAAAAAAAAATCCAGATTCTAGCTGTAGATAGCTTTAGGTAGTACCCATTCTTTTTTTTTTTAATATCAGGTGGGCAGCGTGCCAACCTCATAACAAGGTCTGAGGGACATCTCACACGTGAGCATGAAAACCCCATCAGCACACTTATGAATCACAGAAAGATCGAGTAATGCCCATCCTATTAGGAGGAACCTAGACTCAGACTAATAATGTGAACAAAAACCTGTCCAGTCTGGCTCCTGCCTTTATTTCAGTCAAAGGGTAGGAATCTTTTCTTAGAGAAGATTTAGTTTAAAATGAAAGACTGATGAAGAGTTTTTTTGCTACTCCACATACACTGATAAATTTTCACAATCCTCTAGTCTTGGATTTTTCAACAGGTTACATATGAATCCCAGATGCTAATTACACCTGTTTGATGAACAATACAGCACATTTAACAGGGACATATGGTCTAGAGAAAAATGTTACATTATGTACTTGACATTTCACTTAAAAATTTCCCTTAGAATAAAAGGCTTCATTATAACAGAGAAATTTCAAATGTACTTTATTAAATCTGATTGCTGACGAATTTGAGCCAAAGCAATTACAGAGGAATTGCACAACTGATATTAACTTGAGGTTATTTCTCTGGACATGTTGACATATTAAACTATTTCCCTTCTTTAAAAAATTTTAAACTCCAGTAAAAAATAGAGCATGCAGGCATTATTCTCCATCTGTTTTCTGTAAAAGATCACGGAGGACAGGAGGGAGCTGGGTGTGCATGTGAGAATTCACCACAGCAGCTTCATTAGGGAAACCAAATGCTTAACACTGAGACTGTGTACTCAGGAGACTTTCCCGTTAAAAATATTTAAGACAGATGACAACTGGGCTGTTTCTACTTTGACACTAAAACAAACTACAAATTGTCAGTCAGCATTCAGAGATAAGACCAGCTTCTCAAAAAAATACATTTTATACCCTGATATGACCATTATTATTATGTTAGCCTAACTATGATCATAATCCATTACTGACTTTTTGTTACTAAGCATAAGAATTGATAGGGCCTTCGAGTGAGGCCATCAGGTAAATAACTAGTGTGTGTGTGCCAGCTGTGACAAGATAGCATTCAGGAAAATGTGCAGCCACACCCATTTCCTGGTATACAGGATTTACCTGTTAACCTGTCACTTTGGAGTCTGGCTAATAGGAACAAGTCTTCCAAATTCTGACAGTCATCTACTAGCAAGAAATGATCTGGAAAGTTCCTTAATTAGGCACACTGTGGAACGGCTGCTATTAGCGGATCTGTCTATAAAGATTTTCTATCATACTTTTATTAAAACTCCTTTAAGGGACAAAACTTGGTTTTAACTGAATCTTAGTGCAACTGTCACAAACAGAAGTATTTCCTCTTGGACTTTCTCCACATAAGGAAGTTATCCCTATAATTATTATTTTTAAGTAGTCTTCTAACTTTGGGAGAACTTTACCGTCCCCCAACACATGCATGTGTGTGCACACACACACCCCCCTGATGAGGAGGGCGTCCCATAGGTTCGGTCAACAACCTGCCCATGTTCCTGAGAATCAGAATTGTCATCATGGGTCCAGAGTCACCTTTCTGTGACAGCATTTTGGAATTCATCCACGCTCATCTCATTTGGATTTCAATGCTTCCTCCCACTCAGCAGCCGATTCAGAGTTCTTGGGAATTGCTGGAAATATTGATTGCATTTTACTTCGAAAGTCTTTCATCTAAAAGAAGAAAAAAATCAGTCATCAAATGTTAAAAGAAGGAAAAAATGACCAAAGCTATTAGAGATGGCACCTTTGCTGACCGAATGATACTTCACTGCTCACAGATACAAAGCAAAGGAATACCAATAAAAGATAAGGACTATATTCTAGGTACCTTGATAGAAAATGAAATACACCTCTTTTTTCCTTCCATGTAAAAATCTGTTGTCTAAATAAAATAAAACTTCACTCTGAGCTGGACATGGTGGCATTGCATGTAGTCCCAGATATTCTGAAGGGTGAGGTGGGAGGATTGCCTGAGTCCAAGAGCTTGAGTCCTGGGTAACTGAGCGAGACCCCATTTCTTATTTCCTACTGGAAGAGTGTGTATTGCCAGCTTTCATATATAGACATGCAGAGGATGGGATTTCTGCCTATCTGAATAAATGAATATACTCAGGGTCTTCAAAGTTATAATTTTAGAGCCAGAAAGAAAGGGCAGAGAGAAGAAACTGAGTAGGAGTTTAATAAAGAATCAAGAAATGGCAGATAAATAGGATGTCCCTATGTGCCTGACAGTGTATTGACACTGCATACTAAGTTAGAGCAAGGGGACAGGAGATCTTATATGCAGTGTCAACATGGTATCACAGTTCACCCGGAGCACCTGGGTCTGCTAAGGGGTCCACCCGCACAGGGAGGGGAACACTAACTTACGGGAGTTGGATGATCTTTACATTAGACAGTTCTACTAACACTCTCTGATTCATCCTTTCCAATCTGTAAGGTTCTGCTAGGAAAATATCATTTCAGTAGCACTACAGCCCTGCATTACAACTACTTCTTATCAGCATATGCCAGTCATATTTTCCTGAGGATGGAGGGTTCCTTGATCATGTGTGTGAAGCACACCGGACTCAACAGGAACATGTAAGTCATTTCTTAGAGTGGTTATTTTGAGTCATCTGATATATTTTTGTTGTTGTTGATGATGCTTCTTTATATCCATTTGAGGCTGACTTGTTTCCATAGTCAGAGGGTACACCTAATCTGCGACTTGTGGATCCCAGTCATTTACCCCATGACTGGAGCACTGCTGTCAGCAGCAGACTCTGAGATCAGGCAGGCCTCTGTTCAGATTCTTGCTCCACCACTTGGGAAAGCTGCTCGCTCTCTCTAAGTCACAGTGCAGGATGGAGATAATTATTACCTGCTTACAGAGTTGTGAGGACTAAGTGAGATAATATAGATAAGTCACAGGACCTAACCCATGGTAAATTTTCAATATACAGGGTGCTAAAAAAATGTATCATGTTTTAAGCATGATGCTCACTCAAAAAATGGCATTAATCAATGTTAGTATCACCATGAGACAGGCAGGACAAGTCAAAGAAAATGGCGAAAGCATGGTTGAGCTAGTGTCATACTACACATTGCTACTGCAATTTAATTCAACTTCGAAAAGTAATACATAGATAACATCTCTTTAAATGTGTATACATTTTTTGGCACCCCCTATAGATCAGCTATTATCATTGCAGCATTATCAAAATGTGTGTACTGTTTTTCAAGAACAAAGCTCATATGGATATAAATATCATGGTATGTCCGTTAAAAGCACTGCTTTATGGTTGTATATCATTTTGGTTTACACATCTGACACTGGAAGTGATGTAAGGTTATCCATCATATGCTGTCTCTAGGTTTGTGCTGTCTCAGTGTCCTGGACCCAGACACCCATTTTGAAGACACACACACCCACATATGTGTCCTTCCTATGTCTTCCACGTGGCTCTCTAGTCTGTACTATGAAACATCCTACATAAGAGGTTCTCAGTACAGCATCCCTGAGGAGGCACTGACTGTGGACGGACATTTTTGGTTGTCACAATCCCTGGAGATTATTTGCATTTGGCTAGGGGTGGGAGGAAGGTGGTGGGGGACAGATGCTTAATGTCCAGGATGGGCCACAAAAAGAACTAATTGCTTTGTCCAAAACATCAATAGCTCCCCACACCCCCCCCCTGCTCCCCCAGGAAGCTTGCACAGACTTTCATAGTTGAAAAGCAGACATCTCTCTGACCAGAGTGTGCAATGTACTGCCTGGCTCTTACCCTTCACCCGTCTGGTTGAACATCTGTTACAACTAAGCCAGACGACACCAAGTCATTTACCACACTTCCTTCTCAGTGACATGGAACATGGTCAGTTGTCGAGAAGCAGGAGGCTAGGAAAGGCAGACAAGGCCCAGCTAGGAGAGTCAGGGGTGGTGACGTTCTTCTAGCATGGTTGTGTTTCCATTCCTCCTCTTGACTTGGTTTTTTTTATTCTTTCCTCTAATTTCCCAAGTATTATATTATTTATTTGTTCCCAGGGTCCTAAGTGAGTAATTGAACCACCAGAAGCAATCACGTCTGAAAAATAGCCATCTAGGAGCAGACAGACCGCAGAATGGGAAGAGTAGGCTGGAGGAACACCATTTAGTCCTGTTCTCTAATGCTATCACTGTGGAAATGGAAACTCAGAGTCTACATTTGGGCTTCAAGTTGCTTAGACAATGGGGCTCCAGAGGAGGTTTTTAAGCTTGTACTATTTATATTACAAGGATAGCGAATGAAAACCTTCACATTTTTTCACATAGATCAATTTCTAATATGCAGTTTAAAAAGGTATTGGTTATGCCAATGATTCTCTTATACACAGGCCAACAGACTATTTGTGTGCATAAAGATGTGCCTGAAAAAAGGTTTAGGGGTTGAATGCATTTAAACAAATGCGGTTGTAAAGTAAATATACTGAATTCCGTGACAAAAATCACAGCTACCGCCATAGAACGGTCCCTCTGCCCTGCATCCCAGAAGTTTGGGGAAGATGGGGCATGCTGGGAGCTGGAGGCCCCCAATCAGCATCTCAGGTTTCCTCTGAAGCCTGTTTCAAACCCTAGGATGTTTTCTCTGTAATTCTCTTTTTCCTTTTCCCTCTGACTAGGGAGAATCGTTCCATGCTATGGATAACAGGCAGGGCTTACAAGCAAGGCTGCTATGCACTGCCACAGCCCATGCCCTACACACTTACAAGAGTGCTCTCCATAAGGACTAAGACACGAATGGTACTCCCCAGTGCCTGTAACTCCCCGAATCTCATCCTTAAGTCCCAATGCTTGTGTCCAACAGTGCTGGGTTGTAATATTACCAGAAAGTACCATTAAGTAGTAGCGTTCAAATGGAGTGTCATGACAAATGCAAAAGGTATAATAAGTAATTTGCCGCAAACATTCTGAAGATTGAATACAACTGACTTCAGATATTAGGACAGATTCAAGATTATGTCTCTAATGTCACTCTCACATTTCAATAGCTTCTTGAAGGGCCTACATAGCCAGTAGGGCAGGAGTAAGATCAACAACAGATGCCACTTACAGTGCCCTTATTGTATGCCAGACATATTCCTCATCTAGCCCTTCCAATAACCAAGTGGGGCAAATGTTATTCCTCTTTTAAAGATATGGCAATAGAAGTTTAAATAAACTAATAGTGTGCTCAGTGTCACAGCTGGTAAAACCAGATCTGACTGCACAGCTTATGCATTACTCTGTGCACTGCTTGACTGTACAGCAGGGATACTGCTGCACATTTTTAATGCATGCTTTGGCAGGGAAAAAGCAACTTGAAAACATTTGGTCTAACATACAGTGTGCTGAAAAATTACTTAAAAGCTTCAGGTTATGTCCCCAATTTAATTAATTTCAGAAAATCCTTACGGCATCGATTCTAATAAATAGGGAGTTATTGGAATTAAAAGCTCTGAGGTTTGAAATGCTTTTTGCTATTGACTAGCTCATTTGCTCATTTAGCTTCTATTTCTTCACTTGCCAGTGCAGGACTCTTACTGACCTCAGTGCTGGGGGTTAGAATGGTGAAAGCTTTATTGGATCCACTGATGAAAAAGTCTTTGGATATGTCAGTGACTACAGTTAACTGTTAATTTTCAAGAATCTGGTAATTCAGCTTCATAAAATACAATAGAGTAAGACCATATAACATTGATAACAAGAGAACTAAGTATTGTTATGTTGTAAAAATGTTACATGAACAGGAATATCTGCCATTTGGAATCACTTATTTGTCAGGCACTGAACAAAGCATTACATTACTTAATCTTCACAATCCTCTATGGTAGAACTTATCACACCAATTTACATATGAGAAACCAGAGGTCAGAGGTTAACGTGCCTATGGGGACATGGCATATATGCAGTTGCCTGACCGATGCCAGGGTTCTTTCCCCATAGCTACTCTGGCTCTGTGACCCATGTACCTGCTTCCACTAAAAATGACTTAAAAACATACCTCTCATAATGGCGACCACTTTATTTTGAATGGTATGATACACGTGTTCACCAATAGCAAGTAGTCATTTACTCCTGGATATGGGAGGGTATACTCCCTACCTCCTTGAAGTTAGGTAGCCATGTGACTACTTCTGGTTAATGAAATGGGAGCAAAACACATGTGTGTCACTCCCAGGCTGAGCCCTTAATTGCAGGGTTTCGACACTTAGGCCTCTCTTCACTTTCCAAAGCAATCATGGAAACCTGCATTGCTATCAAGATCAAAGCAATCTGGGGAGCTGAGCCAGCACATGCAGGACAGCTTTCCCAGAGAGTTGCTTAAACCCAGATGAGTTTTACACGAGTGAGAAATAACCTCTGTTATTTTAAGTCACAGATTTGGAGGTTGTTTCTTATTGCAGCATAACCCAGCCTACCCTAGCTGACACAGATGGTGAAGAGAATGGTAAAATAGATTTAAGGCAGCTCGGATGCCCTACAATAGGGCATTAAATTTGGCCGAAACACAGTTGAATACAAATTCAAGGATTGGATGAGAGGGAACAGGAACTCTGCTGCTGAGCAGTCATGTCTTTGTGGACATTTTCCCATTGCCCCACCCTTTCCACTTCCGGAAGCTCAGCACATCAATTAGTCCCCTTATATGATACTGCTTCCTGGGAAATCAGAATATTTCTATATGTTTTCAATAAAATAATATGGGAGCTCTAATCAGTATGGAAAAGGGTCAGTTAGTTGGAGGGTCACTGTCCAACTGATAAAATTAAACTAAGCAGGACTGAACTGGTTTAAAGAGCAAATATCTTTCACTTTTCATTCTGTCTGTTGATATCCACATGGAGCCTGAGATGTGTTTGAACATATATTATTTTAAAATTAAATTGTATTAGGAAGGCTAATGTAAATTTTTAAATCTTAGATCCCCATTTTCTAAGTTACTAGTACTATCATTTGGGTTCTTTCCTTACTCCTGAACCCTCACTGTATCACAAGCAGAGTCCAGAATCTGTAGTGAAGTCAGCTGACTTAGAAATAAAAAGCAAATGTGTTAACTTTCTAAGAAAAACAATCCCTAAAGTACTCTTTAACATGGCCAATTTTTATGACAGTGATTAACAATAAGGCACAATTCAAAAGCAAAAGCTTTCTGTTAACATGAAATAAACTGAGCAACAAGAACGACCTGGGAGCCTCTTAGAGCCAGGGCCTATTCTGCTGCTAAGACCCAGCTCAGGAAGAAAGATTTATAACATGCTTTTTGATTTGATGTGTTAATAGATCAGGTTCTCAGAGGCAGCTCTAAGATGATTTTCATTCAGCCCAGGCTTTATTTTTAGTAACTGCAAAATTTAGCAATGTTTCCTTTCTCTGCCAAATAAATGACAGTAACTCAATTGTCAGGTCTCTTTCTAAAAGCTTTCTATTTTACTGCATGAAACATTTTATAACAGTTACAATCTGATCACTATTATTTTCACATCCTACCCTTATGATCTTGCTTCACTGATGTGTACATACGTGCATGTGCACACAAACAAGTGCAACCTACATGTAGTAGCAGCCTCCATTTTGTGATGCCTTATTATGTTGGTTTTTTTTTTGAGTTGGAGTCTCACTCCATCGCCCAGGCTGGAGTGCAGTGGCACACTCACGGCCACCCCAGAGTCGACCTGCTGGGCTCCGGTGATCCTTCTGCCTCAGCCTTCCAAGTAGCCAGAACTACAGGTGAGTGCTACCATGCCCGGCTAATTTTTTATCTATTGTAGAGAGGTGGTCTCACCAAGTTGCCTGGGCTGGTCTCAAACCCGCGGGCTCAGGCAATCCACTCCTCTCGGCCTCCCAAAGGGCTGGGATTACAGGCTGAGCCACTGAGCCCGGCCTGTGATGTCTTTTTAAAGGCCCAGCTGATAGGCTGTCCCAGGGGAATGAAGATGGTTTCAAGACGGATCCATTATAAAAACTACTTCTGTGTGTATATACTTTTATTTTTACATTGCAGAAAGTTACCAATTTTTTATAGTATATAAATGAACATAGGTATAAGCCAGCCAGAATGGAAAAATGTGTATATAGCCAATGAAAAGAATCAGAGGCTAGGCTTGGTGGCTCGGCCTATAATCCCAGCACTTTGGGAGGACAAGGCAAGTGGACTGCCTGGGCCCATGGGTTGGAGACCAACCTGGGCAAGTTGGTGAGACCTCGTCTCTACAATAAGTCAAAAATTAGCCAGATGTGGTAGTGTGTGCCTATAGTTCCAGTAATTTGGAAGGTTGAGGTGGAAGACTCGCCAGAGCCCAGCAGGTTGACGCTGGAGTGAGACTCCAACTCAAAAAAAAAAAAAAAGTGAACAAGCTTTTGGATGTGCAAATCTGGGGCTAGACTAGACAGACAGTATATAAAATCATGGGAATGGAGGTATATGTAAATTTAGACACATGGCATGCTGTAAAGGTATTTTATGAAGATGAGTTTTATACTCAGGTACAGTACGGGTGCTAGAAAGAGATATCAGTCAGAAAGCGATTACACTTACCTAGGTGTAGAGTGCAAAGAACTTAACTAGGGTGGTAGTAATAAAAATGGAAAGAAAAAAACCCTGATATATTCAAACTGAGAGGGTGGCTGGGCTCGGTGGCTCAGCCTATAACCCCAGCACTTTGGGAGCCCGAGGTGAGTGGATTGCCTGAGCCTGCAGGTTCGAGAACAGCCCAGGCAACTTGGCAAGACCTCGTCTCTAAAATAAATAAAAAATTAGTCAGGCGAGAAAGCGCGCCTTTAGTTTTGGCTACTTGGAAGGCTGAGGCAGAAGGATCACTGGAGCCCAGCAGGTTGACACTGGAGTGGCCGTGAGCGTAGTACCACTGCACTCCAGCCTGGGCGACGGAGTGAGACTCCAACTAAAAAAAAAAATCGGAAATTCTAGGACAATAAGAAACAACATCTAACTTTTTGTGGGGAACCAGTGATAACTACATACATATACAAGGCAAGTACTAGTATATGACAGGTACCAAAAACACTTCTTTGATGTGGTCACTTCAGAAGTGTAAAAAGGTAAGTATCATATGCTGAATAAAAGAGCTGGCGGGCTAAATAAACAGGGAAAGGGAAGTCACTCTGGATCTCTTTTAGGAATCCAAGTTTATTCAAAAGCTTGACATATGCAATCCCATATCTATCATCTCTTCTTCAATAACTTCAGAAGGATAGCTGTAAACAACTTTAAAGCTTGAGCTCCTTCTGAATTTCCCAAAGTGTTTTTGCGCTCTTTTTCAGACGGGCCTCCTCTTCAGGGGTCAGCTTTATCTTTATGAGGTCTGTAATACCATTCGCTCCCAGAATACAAGGAACACTGAGGAATACGTCTTCATTTATTCCATAGAGACCCTTAATATTGGTGGAAACTGGATGTGTTCTCTTAAGATTTTTCAAAATACTTTCTGTTAAATCAGCTACAGATAGGCCAATGCCCCAAGAAGTATAACCTTTCATTTTAATAATCTCATAGGCACTGGCAATCACGTCTTTGTGGACGTTTTTCCATTGCTCGGGGTCTTTATCAGTTCCTATATCGGGGTTCATATCCTTCAAAGGGACCCCAGCGATGTTCACTCCACTCCACACAGGAACACTTGAGTCTCCATGCTCTCCAAGAACCCAGCCATGGCAGCTTTCAGAGTGGATGCCAAGCTTCTGCCCAATCAAGAAACGAAAACGAGCGGTATCCAGATTACAGCCACTTCCAATAACACGGCTTTTGGGAAAGGCACTCAGCTTCCAGGTTATGTAAGTTAAGATATCCACTGGATTGGAAACAACAATCAATTTGCAGAGGGGGCTGTACTGGATAATACGGGAAATCATTAATTTGAAGATGGCCACATTTCGCCGGACTAAATTAAGGCGTGTTTCCCCCTTTTCTTGGCGTGCGCCTGCCGTGATAACTACTAGGTTGGAGTTTGCTGTGACACAAATATCTTTGCTACATACAATATTTGGCATTTTTATGAAAGGGCTGCCATGTTGAAGATCCATTGTCTCACCCTTCAGTTTGCATTCATTAACATCAACAAGGGCAAGTTCATCACTCAGGCCTTTTAATAAGATGCTGACGGCACAGGCCATGCCTACCGATCCAGTTCCTACAATGGAGACCTTATTGTGAAGAACCGGCTTCTCCGAAGCAAAACGCGTGAGGAGCTCACACTTCACGGTAGCCATCTTGGCCGCGGGTGTGAAGAGCCAGGCGGCCTTGGATGGGACGCCCGCCACTCCACT